TTATACAGGCTGATTTATGTTATATGCCTCATGATAAAATTGAAAACAAGATTTATAAATATGCTTTAACATGTGTTAATATAGCAAATCGAACTAAGTGGGTTTGTCCTTTAACCGAACGGGATTCTGATAGTGTTGCTAAGGGATTTATAAAGCTTTTTAAATTTTACAACTTTCCTCTTACACAGTTGGAGACGTTGCAAACAGATTATGGTCCAGAATTTTATGGGAAATGCGAAGAGTTAATGATTAAGTATAATGTAAAAATTAATCGAAGCAAATTGAAAAAACGACAAGGTATAGTTGAGAGATTTAATCAAACTTTACAGAAGTGGGCATTTTATATTCAAGATGCTGTAGAGTTATTGTTACCCCCAACGGAGCGTTGTAGAGCATGGGTTAGAAATCTTCCTATATTTCTTGAAAAGCTTGATAATACAAAAACACGATTAATTGATATGTCTCCTGTCAAAGCTCGAAAATTAAAACATGTATATGCCAAGTCATCTAAACCGAGATATGGCCCTATGGGGTATGATGAAATTCGTTTAACTTATAGTGATTCTGTTTTATATTTACTTAATCCTGGTGAATTGGAAGGCAGAAGAAGAAGAGCGACCGATTGTAATTGGTCTCCTCAAATTTATCATATTAAAGAATCTCTGGTACAAAAAAATCAACCGATCCTTTATTGGATTATAGATGATAATGAATATAATCCCGAAAGATCTTTTGTCCGTGAACAATTATTAGTTATTCCACATAATACTGAATTACCTCCTCAATGGGTATTGCAGAGCAAGCCCGAAGGGCGATTCAAGGATCATGGTTTTTCGAACCTACTTAAGAGTTAAGCCATGCTTGGAGTTCTTCTTCTCTTTCTTCATCTGTAATAAAATACTCTTTAGCGATTTTATAGATTAATTTGAGATAGTTTAAAATAGCTTGTTTAATTTTCGGCTCACTTTTGTAATAAGAATTGGAAAATGCTTTTATTTTTGTATCATATATTTCTTCATTAGGAAGAAGTTGTTTGGCTTTAATTATAATATATTGCTCTTGATCTTCTGATTTGCGCAATTCGTCAAGGTGGTTTTTATAATAAGCCATGAAACCTATATTTCTATCTTTGTTATAAAAGTTACCTGCTCTTAATACATCGATTATTGATTTTTCGATATCTTGGCATGTTGGGAGACAGGTTTCACTCTCGGTGGATATTTGATTGGTAGTTTGAATAGTAGTTGACATTTGAATATGTGTTACGTTTTGATTATCTAAAGTTTTGTATATAATACTTTATAAAATCTTTTCTTTAAATAAAAATTTTAATATATATAAAAAAATGATCAGAAAATATACTTGTCTATTCTATTATAATTCTGGTGAAGTTTGTGGAAGAACCTGTATGCGTCCTGAGGGGTGTAGTTATCATTGGAAAGCTAAAAGAAGAGTACCTTGTACTAATTGTTCTAAACCTACTAGTTCTACTAGTGGTCGATGTCCAGATCATATCAGAGGTTATTATGTTGCTCAATACTATGATAGGCTTCGATCAAATTCACGAGAAAAACCTTATGAGGAAATAATTAATACCATTAAAAAGATGCTTGCAAATATTTGAGAAAAAACTTATGATGAAATAATGGTTGTTCATGGAGTCACTCTTACAACTCTTAATATTACTCTTTGTAAAGAATGCTTAATTCCAATAAAAATAGAAGAGGGAAAATATTGTAATAGCTGTCAATCAAGTCCAGTACTATAGTAGATTACATAAGCAAGCTTCAAAATTGAATTCTCGATAACTGAAAAAGTTAACTCAGAATTTGTGACCTTTGCCAAAATTTTGTTACCCTTATCGAAATTTTATTACCCTTTGCGATATATGGTCACATTTTTTGTTACTCTTTACTGAAATTTTGTTACCCTTTGAGATATATGGTTACATTTTTGTGGGCCAGAAAAATAGTGAAGAATTGTCTTTAGATTGAATTCTGCTATATTAATTAATATCGGTATATAATTTGGGCTTGATTCATGTCTGAGAAGAGATCATGATATTCATTTTTTGTTACCCTTTGGTAACATTTTTGGGCCAGAAAAATAGTGAAGAATCGTCTTTAGATTGAATTCTGTTATATCAATTAATATTAGTATGCAATTTAAGCTTGATTCACGTCCGAGAAGGGATCAGGATATTCATTAAATTCATATCCTTCACCGCTTCTCTTGGACTTTTTTAATAGCAAGCTGTATATCATAAATAATTGATATCTTTTTTGATATGAATTTGGATAATTAAATGTGTTCTAGATATATAAAAAATTAATATACTTTGATATAAAAATGACGTGCAAAATTTTTTTTTCGCCATACAGGAACCATGGTATATAAGATCGAGTTCCAGTAACTTGAAAAGCTTGAATTGATGTACAAAAAATGATATGCTTGATGATGATTTCGGAGCGTGAAATATAGCAAGTTGACTAGTGCTGAGCCAGAACACCCATTTTTACCCTACTTAATAAATTTCCGTAATTTTTCGTATAATATTCTGTAATTTTAACATAACATTAAATTTCTGTAATTTTTTGAACGTAATATTACAGAATTTTAACATTTTAATAACTTTCGAAAATTTCTGTAAATTTTTGTAATATTACACGAAAAATTACGGAAATTTATCACCACGTTAAAATTACAGAATATTACGCCCAAAAAAATTTCCTGATGTAGTTCATAATGACTTTACACCAATGAATCATATCATTGTCCCAAGTTGTTTCAATGATGGTTGTGATAGTGCAGATGATCTCAGAAATGAGGAATTTGAAGATATTATCTTGATTGATTGGGTATCAGCCACCATAGCATTTGCAAGTGAAGAAGAACCTGGTACTGTTACAGGGACAGCAGCATTTATGAACAAAACTTTAATGGTACTTGCTGAAGGAATAATAAAGATAGAAAGAGCTCCAGTTGATGATCTTGTATCTTTAGCATATACTTTGCTTTGGATGTGGCGTGGGGGGGAATCTGCCTTGGGAGAAATATGGTTGTGAAGTTAATGAAACAGCAGATAGGCTCGATTTATTGCATGAAGCCATGATCAGTCTTCTAGACAATGATGGTGTAGGACTATTTGTGGCATGGGCTCGGTCTCTTAACAGGATGGTGACAGTGAATGAGATTAACTATAATGAGGGAAAACGTAGGGCTTCTGATGACTGAGTCAATATCTACAATAACAAGTTAACACATGTTTTACATACAGACTATGCTTGAAACATCAATGATATTTATCCGAGTGATCACTTTCAAGCAGAACGTATGCAGTACTAACTTTGCAATTAGACATGTTGTTTTTACCAAATTTTATTCATCTTTAATTTCTTTCATCTCTCAAAAACTGAATGCTGAAAAATACCTCAAAACAAATACGTATTGGAATGTATATGCTTAAATTTGGCAATGTAATGTGCATAAAGTCAGAATTCGAAATAAAAATTTGCTTATAAAGATAATATTGATCTTTTGCGTAGAATTTGGCTTGTAATAGTTGTATCCCTACAGCCAATATACTCTTACTTGGAATCATTTTTTTAGATATTTCGCCTTCTCCTGTTTGCTTTCGACTCCGTTTGCTATGAGTGATCCTTAATAGTTCTTGTTACCATTGCTTTATCTGGTTCAACTGATACGGTATTGTAAAACCAGTTTTTACTACATGTATCTTGATTCACAATCAGGATTCATTTTTGACATTGCATGTTTCGTATAGGTCAGAAGATAAAGTAACAATCAATCAAATTTTTTTTTTTTGTAATTTATTTACGATCGAATATTATTTTAATTTTACCATCTTTGTCTAATTCTGTTTTAATACCTGCTTGTTTCAAAATATCGTTTTGCACCGTTCCAATTGTCTCAAGTTCTTTGATAAGTTTTTGATTATCTAAATTATCAATTAATAAATTGCGAAGTGCAAGTATTGCATACTCTCGAATATCTATAATATGAATGTTAATATTTTAAAATTTTAAAAGGAAAATAAAAAGTTAAAGCCGTGTAAAATAATAAATAATAATAATAATAATAATAATGATATACATTACATGGATTATTATCATCAATATTACATTGATTTAAAATTAAAGGAATTCCACCCATTTTACGAACCTATCGTAAATATATAATGTACATAAATACATATTAACAAAAAAAAAATAAATCTTCTAAAGAATATAAAGAATATAAAATGTAAAATACCTCTTCTTGTACAATCTTATTTTCGTAGGACATATTTCCAATGATTTTTATAATTTCTCTTTTAATATGTGAAAATCCTGTAATACCATTTTGTAAATTTTGAGTTATTGAACTTGATATGGCTTTTGTTACGCGTGGCAATGTTTTATCGGCTTGAATTAAAAGAACTTTTTAAATATCAAGTTATAAAGATAAATAAATAAAATAAATAAAATAAAATAAAATAAAATAAACGAAAAATAAAGAATAAAAATCGTATAACTCTTACATATTACTGTAGAAACAATTCCTTCTTTAAATAAACATTCACATATTTTATTATTTCCATCCTGACTTAAACTTACAAAACATTGTAACAACAAAACTAATCCCGAAAACAATAATCTATTTTCTTCAATTTCTTGGGGTACATCATCTTCTAGTGAGACATTTGTTTCTGATGTAGAATTTTCTATTTCCAATTGTTTCATTAAATTTATAACTTGAGGACAAAGTGAATTAAATAGTTTTAATAGAAAAGTACATGAATGGAATGAAAATGAATTGGATATATTAATTGTTGAATGAAGTTTGGAATCAAGGAGTTTAAGAAGGATGATTTGATTATGTGTTGGTATTTGTCTTAAAAAAATTGAATTGATTATTGGATTAATGATTAGTTTAAAGAATAAAAAAAAAATAAATATCAATAGATAAAAATATTCTTTAAATATCTCATACTTTGAATATGTGTTTAAAGAATCGTAAAGCGTCGGGAAAAGATCGAAGTCAATTAATCGGGAAACAATTGTATAACTTTATGATATATGATCAAAGAAACAAATGAGCGTGAACGAAAATAATTTAAAAATTTGGAAAAAGAAAAGATCGAGATGAAACGTACATGAGCTCAAAATTCTCATCTTCGAGAAGAGTTTCAGTTTTATCCAATAAAAATTTTAAAAGACGATTTCCCGACCCCGAACATACTAAAGCCCTACTAAATTTCATCAAATTCCCCAATTTTAAATATTAAAATCGATAATAATTTAAAAGAAGAAAAAAAACCTCCTTTTTTTAAAAAAAAGAAATACCTTCGAGTATCACTTTCAAATATGCAATTATGAACAAGTACCAAACAACTTGTTAGCGTACCATTATCGCCGTATCTGGCAAGTGTACTAAAAAAAAAGGAGAGAAAATTTCATGTTAGTGTTAACGAATTTTTTTAACGGTGCATGAATTAATATTTTCACCTCAAGAGATCATTAGATTCATTTCTATTCATAAAATCAACCCATACACATTCTTGTGTAAAAGTATTTCCAGTGATCATATTAGATAACGCTTGAGTCCCAGATCTTAAAATTGAGATGTTGACTTTTATTCAGAAAATATTAAAAAAAATTAATTTCTGAATCTCTAAATCTTATTATTTAGGTAAATAAAAATAAAAATACCAACATTCGGTATTATCGTTCTCTTGTCTATATTTTAAAAAGAAATGCCACAAAATTTGTTCAATAAATTTATTCCATTCTTGCTCTCTACAAGAAATATAAATATATAAATGCTTAATGAAATTTTTTTATTTTATTTAAAATATTTTTTTTTCAAGTACATACAATGCTTTGTTTTGATTTTCGGTAATTGCTGCTACTATATTCTTAAACACTCGCAATAACCATAAAGTTACTGGAAAAATAAAATATTCGTCATTGAACAAATTTTTCAAAACCCAAGTTTGCATATTATTGGTTATTATCCAAAATTGTTGATTTAAACCAAGTTCCTTCCTAATGAAAACAAGGAAATCTTGAATTCAACAAAATCTGATTCTTTTCGAATTATCTTTAGTTTTTTTTTTTACTAACCGGAATTCCGAGTTAGTTTGAGCTTCCAAAGCGATTTGTTTTAAAGAACTAATTATATTATCTCTAACCATACTATCTAGATTATTTACATCTTCTACAGAATCTATGAACAAAATGTTTAATTGTTGCACGATTACATTGACGTTCATTTTCCGAAATTAAAAAAAAAAAGAACGATTTAATTAAGATCTAAGAGGCACGTGAAAAGTTGATTAATGTTAATGTGGCAACCTTTTATTGGTTAGCTTTGTTAACTTTACAAACACGTATTTTATTTAAAAAGTGTTCAGTTCAGATTTATTTCTCTCGTTAAAAAAAATGATCAAATTCTTTATACTTTTGAGCTGTACTTTATCATTAGCTTTTCTGACCATATCGACCGTAGCATTAGAGAATGATGGAAATAATGAAAAGGGGTTTGCTATTAACGATTTGAAAATAGCAGTGACCTCAGGTTCTGATAGAAAACTTACTGAGAGGTATAGTAATGATTTTTATTAAAAAAAAAAATGAAAAAATAAAATTAATAAAATTAAGAAAATTTTTCTTTAACAAAATAAAAGTATCAGTTATCCTTCCTCAATTGAAAAACCAATTTACCTAACTCAAGGGGATGATTTAAAAATGATATTTGTTCTTCAAGATAAACAAACAAACAAACCAATTCAACCACATCAAGCTTTTGTAATATTAACATCAGAAAAAACAGGCAATCAAGTACCTTTAATTGTAAAAGTTAGGATAAATGGGAAATCCAAATTTGAATTGGTAAATATTTTATTTTTTCATTCTCATTATTAATTCCTCATTTAATTAATTCCTCATTAATAATTAATGACTGACTCTTCTATTAATTCATTGATATTCAAAGGATATGAAATCACCACCTAAAGAAATTCTTTCTTCACCTGGAAATTATTCTTTCAATCTCGTTATTGGAACATTTTCTCATAATCATCCACTTAATTATCATATTGGAACTGTTGAAATTGATTTACCTTCTACTTCAGAAAAAACAAATTCTCAAGTTGGGTATGGTCCAAAACCTGAGATTTCCCATATATTTAGATCTTCCGAAAAATTACCTCCACTTTTTTTATCATATATGTTTGTATTTATTACATTAACTCCATGGATATTCTTAATAATATCTGTAAGTATTTCGTTCATAAAATTTACAAAATATTCTGTGTCACTTTTATCTATATACTAATTTTAATATATATTTATATATATTTAATATTTAAAAGTGGACAAATCTTAAAGTGAATATCTCTTTAATTAAAAAAGCCACGGTATTTTCCTTGATTATTATTTTGCTTTTCTTAAGTTCAATAACTGCTATTGAATTTTTATTATATAATTATTGGACACATTTAAATATATTTGAAACACTTTTATGGTTGACCGGATTGAGCGTGGTGTCTTTCATCACTGGACAAAAAGCTCTTAGTAATGTACAAGAATGGAGATTATCAGGAGTTCGATAAAAAAAAAAATCCAAGTAATTTAATTAATAAAAAATAAATCTTTTATTTAAGGGTATATAACTTTTTTTCCTTCTTCAAAAAAAAATTTATTCATTTATCATTTGAAAGTTAGACCAACTTAATAAGACAAACCCTATTAATATGCAAAAACTTCCAATTATCGTATTCATTTCTAATGGAACTCCTGTCACCCCCACATCTACTATTGCTACTAATGGAATGGTCAACATTGTTCCAATAGCTGCAAAAAGTGGTGAAGTGAAAGAAATTACTATCATAAAACTTGCATTAAACGTAACACCCATTAAACCTATTAGAAGTATAAAACCAAAAGTATGCAAATCAGGAAGTTCGAATTTTTCAATTCCAATAAAGTGTAATATTGGAAGAGGTACCCAAAGTAATAATAAGGATGTAAAACCCATTAAACCAGTTAAAATATTTGAAAATAAAATTGATGGTGTTGGTGGACTTGCATATTTTTTATACAATACTTCACACAATCCACACAATATTGCACTAAAAATTGCTATTAAATCTCCCGGGAAAAATTCATATCCATCACTAATATTATTATTATCATTATCTCGAGAAGGAATCTTTGAATCTTTCTTAAAAAAAGTTAATATAATAATCCCTACAATACTTAAACAAACGGCACCGATTTTTCGTATTTTCAATGATTCACCCAACATAAGAATTGAGAACACATAAGCCCAAAAACAACTTGTATTATAAATAGCAGTTAAATTGGACATGGTAGTTAGATTTATGGCAATATACCAACTGTAACCCACTACACAAAAACCGAATGTAAATAATGTGATGATCCCTAGCAAGTAAGAAGTTATGGGATTACGCCATGATGAAAATAAAATGTGGGAAATATTATCTCCCTCTTCATAATTATCAGGAATAAATTCATATGATGGTTTCTTTACCACATTGAATAATTCATGAATGGAATAAAGAAATTCTTTGAACAATTTCCGAGGATTTGGTTTAAATGCAAATTGAATTGGTAACATTATTAACCAAGCGCTATGAACCACCCATCTATAAAATATATTTTAAAAATGTTAATAAGGCATGATTTTGAGATAGAGAGATATATATATATAAGAAAGAAAATATTAAATTCGAAGAACATATGCATACCACAGGTGGGTGCGCTTTTTTGACTTACAAAATAAAATATGGTTTATTATACATTTTCTCGGTTTGAACGAATTGCGCCAGTTCCTGTAAAAATAATAAAAATAATAAATCAATATTAATTTGCATACATCTATATATATCTATATATCAATGCTTAATTCGCATGCACATATATATCAATACACATATATATCAATGCTTAAGTTGCATTATTTACTTAATTACTTACTGTCTGTAAAATAAAGGCAGCGATACAAATTAAAAGTAAACCCAGCCCTATAATGTTTGATTTATGAATAGAATAAAAATTTTCATTTTGTCTATTTTGTCTATTTTGTCTATTTTGTCTTTGGATATAAGAAGGTCGTTCTTCGTCACAAGATAAAGACATTCTCGAAAGTACTGTGCCGGATCAGAGAAGCATAAGAAGCATGACAGAAGTTCCTTTTGATTGGCAATCATGATAGATCATGTGAATAATTTTTATTAAAAATGATTGGCCATCAGATTTAGCATGACTTTAATTGGAGTGATCTACATAGAACATGATTGGCTAAAATCATAAACGTATATCACATGATATTAACTCTGAGATGCAAATGATTATTTTTTGATAATCTAATCCAAAGTATCAATAACAAAGCTTATTAATAGAACTCTTTACAAGTAGAGAAGTGTATATTCACAAATTTTTAAACATATATTATATAAATTGTAGTTTTATTTAGAAAATATTTAAATAATATATTTAAAGAAAGTTGACTTTATAATAATCGTAATAAGCATAAAAATTTATTAAAATAATTTATATTTAGAAAAGGTTAACTTTACAATAATTACAATAAGTACAAAAATTTATTATTTTTTATCTTTATAATAGGTCTAATTATATATTATTTTAAAATTTACTGATGCGTACCTCGTGTATAATTTTGATGCTTATTGATACTTATATAAATTTTGTTAGAGTCATCAGGAAATTTTTAAGGGTAATATTACCATGAGTTTTCTTCATTATAATAATTTTCTTAATATTTTATTTCTTATTTGTATTATTTTATTAATATAATTATTTAGTATATTTAGTATATTTTATATATTTTAATTATTAGCTATAATTAATATTTATTTATTTCATAGTGTAATACAAATTAAGTAAATTAATAATGTAGATTATAGTGACCCAGTTATTAACCAATTTACTAATTAATTTAGTAGCCAACTAATTGATCAACTTAATGGCCAACTAATTGGTACAATTACTGATCAAGATTTTGACCAACTTACTGACCAATTTACTGACCAAATTAAAGGGTACATCAGGAAATTTTTAAGGACAAATAACTCTGTAAGTTTTCGGGATGTAAAATTTCCATAAATTTTTGCATAAATTTCCATAAATTTTTGTAAATCTTTGAAATTTTTTGATGTAAATTTTGTAAAAATTTTTGCAAAAATTTTCGAAATTTTTTTATATCAAAAAATTTTGTTAATTTTTACGGAATATTACGAAAAGCTTTTCGTAAATTTTCGATGAAAAACGTAATATTCCGTTTAATAGACTA